CATGAAATCAGCTGCAAATTGTTTAGAATAAAATGTGCATCCTTTCGAATCCATTTCTACTGTTATCTTCCAAAGATAGTAAACCATGGAGTTAGGAATAACGACTAAAGAGAAAGAAGTGCTGAGATCTTATTGTGATGCTGAGTCGCTTGAAAAAAGTAGTTAATAGTGTGCCGACGGACTGTGCCATTCCAAGCCTTACACAAGTTGCCGTTGTGCTATTTCTTCCGGGCAAAACATAGCAAAAAGTAGTAGATAACCATTTAGATCTAGTGCCACCTCTATATTTATGATGGATTTGAGTTATGCTGGATTATAATTTATGGTAGAATAAAACCTGATGGGGATATCGATACATAAACTGTAGAGAAGACTACAGAAATCTCGTGAAATATTACGGAGTGGCACGAGAATGTGAAAGGTTTCGTATTCCGCTACAGTCTTGATGTTCCTAATGTAATTTCAGTCTTCTTCCTATGAAAAGGACATCCTGTAGGCATCATGGCCTTGAGTTAAAGAACTATGCCCTACTTTTGACTCGACTTATTCTACCAGCTGCAAGCACTCTCCTGTGGTCACTGCAGTGTGGAGATTTTGTCACCTTCATCTGCTGTAATTTGTTATTCGGCGTTGATTCCTTCATATGAAAAAGTACATCTACATCAGATCGACTAAACCGAAAGACACTGTGCTACTGAGGAGCTTGGAGGGGGAAACAGCAGTCATTTAGTAGTGCCGTACCACACCTCATGATCGGTTCAAATATCTTATCATACTACCAGGTTAACATTGTTTTGATCACGGTCTATAAAAGCAGTCGAGACTAGAGTTACCAAAAAAATTGAGCGATAGTTGGTCCAACGGAATAGGAAAGATTTTTGAGAAATATCTCTCACTTCAGAGTTTTCAATAACCAGCAGGAACTTCAGGGTGAACAAACGATTTACACTTGAAATTTTCATTTCCCTTCCAAGCGATTGGATGACAAGTACAGATTGAAATATATCTGAAAGTCGTAGACAATCAAGACATACTGTTTATTATAAAATTATTGGAAACAAATAGTCACATCAGCGGTTATTTTCGGCTGTGAAAAATGAGGGACAAAAACCAACAAATGGGCTGATAGGTTTGGCGTTGACAAAAGAAATATGAAAAAGGCCAGCTGTGAGAAGCTGACCAGAGATCTTTTGGATACAGAGTGAATCGGCAATGAGCACCGTGTAGAAGAGACTGTGAAGTATGAACTGTCCTTTTCTTCAATCAGACCTTGAACGACGTTGGTACTTCACTTTACTCAAATTGTGATGGCTAAGGTTTCGGTGACCTCGCCTTCCTCATAGCCTAGACGTATATATCAATCCATATCTGATTACTCGGTTAATATTTCGTATGCATCAAAAATCTAATAGAAAATAGTTAACCAATCTGATCGTTTTGAAAAACTCCATCTTCTTTATACTTTTACGGGAGAGGTCACCGGTCTTATGTGACACACTGCGAGAAATGCATCATACTTAGACTGGAAGTGAATCTGAGATAAGTTGCCATATCAGTTGTGATGTTCAGGCACTCTCGCGTCCTATTCATTTTTGGACTTTTGTGGTTCATCCAAAACGTCTCAAGGGTTGTCGCTCTGAAAGGTAACGCTAGTGCAATGGTAGTGGGTGCTCCACGATACGAGCGTAATTCAGGTCGGATTTCCAAATGTTACTGGAACTTTGACTGTCGTTCAGACAAAATGTTGCAACATCATAGCATTGCTAAGAAAGCGATGATATAAGAAATTCTTGCCAATCGCAGAAACTCATAACATTCAATATAGCATCATAGAATATTCCTCTCATGATCGTCGGTGAAACAGAGACAGGATAGAACTTCTATTATTCTTTCAGTATTGTGATAATCTTATCCTACAGCATATTAGAACTGACACTGAATTACATTGAGTCAATGTGGAATGCATACATGAAACAATTTTCAAATAATTTGCATCCTGCTGCGATCTTGAGAACATCGCCGGATAATTAAATGAAGTTTGGTGTGAATGAAGTCTTGACGAGTACAGTGTTACTTTTTCGAATCTTCACACCTTCAAACATTTCTGTTGAACGTTTTACTCAGAAAGCAATTTAAGACATCAGTGAACGGAAATTTGCAACAAACGCAAAGTGGTATAATTATTTCAGATAGAATGACGTATGGTTTTTGCAAATTTAGCCCTTTTAAAATCGAGTTTTTGAAGAGATATTGTGCACTCGCAACACGAAACTGCTTATTCATCTTGAATAAGCGTTCATGAAAAATTGATATCAGGGTCGATGAATCCATAGCTCCGTCGATGATTTCGATTTCTCATAAGCGAAGAAGACGGAACATAGTTTGACGTCCCGAATATCAGGAATTCTTGCAAATATATTGGAAGTAAGTGATTTTTATAGCTTAAATAACACTTTGATCCTTAGTGCAGTGGCACTCTTGTAGAGAAAAAAATGCTCCTGAAAGACTTTCATTCACTAGGAGAGTAGCTATCAGAGAAGTGTTTTAAGAGACCACTATCGTATGCATCACATAATTTTTTCATCGCAAAAAAGAGTTTACTGTTGTCGACAAATTATATGTTGAACTTGTTCAGTAGTGTCTCAAACAGCGCTTTTCTTCATAATATCATTCAACATTAACGAGGAAAATGGTGTTTTAGATGAAATATTCTACGTGATTCAAAAGCTAAGGTGTCGAGTGAACCGCATTCACAAACTTTTTGAATTCTTACGGTGATTAGTATACGAACATCTTAAGAATTGAGGCAGATCACGAAGTAGTTGGCTAGCTATACGTAGATGGAATGAGGCATTACTATACGATGTGCTCCAAATTCTACTCTCCCACCACAGCGTGAAGTCGCGAAAAATCAACGGCGCTTCATAGGACACGCACTTTTGTTAAGAGTTGGAAAATTTGAAAGTTGAGAAAGAAAGCTACAATTCAAATTTAATAAGATTCAGCAGCGTCTCTTTCAATCATATAAGGTTAAAGTAAAGGACAACCTTCCAATGATATCGAAGATATGAGAATGCCTCTTCCTCAACGCTGCCTATTTTGCTTCCTTCCTTCAGAAAGGATTACTCCTTAATAAATTGGGGTGTTTGTTTATCCTTTAAGATACCAAATGGCACTCTTGTGCCGCGTCGTGCCGCGCGACTTCAAATATGACTCAGCTACTGTATATAGCGGAGTCACGCCTTCTGAGAAAGCAGATGCATCTCGTGAAAAGGCAGGCGCAGAGAGCATGACATCTCTGCACAACATCCAGCGCTGTCTACTGCCGCATCTGAAGACCATTGGGACGATAGACGCGGGGAATTAACCCATGTTCTGAAAGAACATTTTGGTCATGAGATGAATGGATTTTATTGAAGAGGCTTCTAAAGAGATAATTTAGTATAATGAACATCTGCATACTCCATATCACTTCTATATCATTTAGGTTTCAACAAGAAAACTACATCCCTATACAAGGGGCCACATTTCCAGTTGATGTGTAACATTGTTTATTCTTTTATCAATGTTCTTATGGTCATGCGATAGCCTGTAAAATGCCTATTTTCATACCAGGCGTGGTTTCTGGTTTAGCCTACATACTGCGTTTTACTAATGAAAAAGATAGCACAGTGCTTCGATAGTGCGTTGTCTCAATTTCACAGTAATTGTTGAGTATTTTATTTGATCAGATTTCGAATATGGGAAAACTTCATCTCTGCAAAAAATAAATGATTGTGAACAAACTTTTATAAGCAAAAATCAAATAAAGGCATAGTTTATTTCGAATATTTCACTGTTCGATTTACGATTTAGCAGTGATGGTAAAGGGCGAAAAGAATTGATTGGCAAACAATCCCGATGCCAGAATTTGACCCGCTATGTTCAGTACATTTCATTACATCTCTTTCGACAAATTCGCCATGATGAATTTTGTGGTCTACATGGATTCTTCTGAGAACGAAATCATACAGCGACCGTGAGACTTCCAAGATTGACAAGTTTAGCTTTAATTGATCCGATATTCATGTTCTTCATCCTACACATATCCCTACCTTTTTCTAGTGTTAAGGCAGCCACTGTGCTGTCGACGACAATGCGGTGTGGTTGTATATCAACCTTCGCTCAAATTCAAGGGTTTGTTTGAGAATTATTATTCAAGGGTTTGCTTGACACAAAGAGTCAGGAAATTATGAGAACAGTTTTTGCCAGTGTTTTCAACGTTTTCAGCCTGTTTGTATCACTTTACGATCCATTGGTCCATGTAAATATTGCATGTGTTGCTGGACAACTTTAAGGATGTTCTGTTACTATTTTCTTTTTGACAGTATGCTAGCTGCCGTATTATTGCAACTCAATGCGTACCGTTACAACAACTGCGATATTATTGCACAATGCTCATTCTAATTCTGCACAAAATTCTAGGAGTTTTGTGATTTTTCACTAAGCAGGCCTTACAATCGACTCTTTTCAATCTCGCTTCAACCAACGTCGCAAGAGTTTAAAGCCTCTTCGAGGTGATCCCTTCGCAAGCAGAGTGACGGGGGTTTGAGGCTAGATGAGACGGATGATACCTCCAAATCGTAGATAAGCCACTTGACGTATCAGTTTCGAAAAGGCTTTAAACATCCTCACACAATATATTGAATCTATATAACTCCAAAGCTTTCTCGTGTTTTTACTACTTCAATATATCTATCATAGTATCTGATTTACGGTCAAGTTCTTTTGAGGTGAAATTTTCGCTCTACCAATCAATTCTCACTGGGTGTATTTAAAACATCATAACACTGCGAAAAAAGCAGTGAAAACAAGAAAATTTGGAAATTATATAAGTACAATGGCAGTGAGCTTAACTGAGTTCATAGAGAGATACTGCTTACGCGACCATACACTTGCTTATGGTTAGTGGTTGATAGCTATGACAGAAATATAGAAAAATGAGTGGTGAGTAAGTGGGTGGCCTCGGTGGTGCAGTGGAAGCACGCGTACCTGGTATGGATGAAATGCAGGGTTCAACTCCCGTGAGGCCGAACTTTGCTTGCCACTCAATTCTCTCGAAATATATTAGTGTTTTGGCGAGGTTTAGAAACAGTCGATTGGATGTTAATGCCTACAAATCAAACAACCCAAACCTCAACTGAAGAAAAAATGGTGATAATCACATTATTACGTATTATCACCAAACGACTCCCCATCTCTGGTACAAAGTAGGATTAACTAGTGGGGTGTGTGGCTGTGATGAGGCGAGCGATACTGACGATACGTGAGACACTGATGTACCAATTACAAAAAATCTCTTATACATTTTCACAGGCTGACGTTTATTACAAGCAGTGGTTAAAGGCGCTCAGAGTCGCAGACATGATCGATGGCTCGATCCGCGCCGAGGATCACCAAGCCCTCCAATCTTTCTCAAAAAGGAACTCGACACTAGATGATCTAGGTGGACGACAGCCTGAACCTGATAGATCGTTGGACCATCACGACTCACTAAGGCTGATATGCATTAAATCACCTCAAAAGAAGAACGAACGAAATCGAGTGTGCGCCCACGCCGTCCAGTGACTGATGAACTCCGACGGCTTCGTACTTCAAACTTTTATAACGATCGAGCTGAAACTGCTTAGGCGAGGGATATAACGAATTGATTTATAAGTATAAAAGGATAATTTCGCGCCATCGATCAATCAACCCCTGTAGGATACCCTGCGCATTCGACTTTACTGAGTATCGATGGAAGTGATCGCATACATATCTGGTCTATACAATACCTTGTAAAAAGTCACACCTAAGTATGCATCTATCCTCTTAGTTTGGCATAAGTTCGCCGATTCAGGAATGGTCAGAAGTCTAGTAAGTCCGAGCAGAGACGAATTTCGCACAGTGTTTGTGATGAACGACATCAGTCACAGCGGACACCAGTAAAACTTCATTTATCCTCCATCGCGTGCAGAAGTAACCCAGTGGCTTCTCTCCCACCAAAGATTCGTCGACTATCACTCCTTTCTTCTAAACTTTGTGAATAAGTCGTGAAATCGGGTTGACGGTCTTCCTGTGGTGCGTTTAGCATCTCAAGGAGTCCACTCGAAAACGACTTTTGTAATTATAAGAGGTACTTATATGTTAGACGGAGACAAATGTAGAACTGATCTCATTCGCTGGAAAGGAACTTTTTATAGGAGTGTTAGTGATCATTCGAAAGTTGAATCCCTGACTAATGCCCTATGTTGCCACTTTATCAAAACACTCTTTTTATAACGCTATAAAACTCAAAGTGAAATACGTCATACTAAACCACGTGTTTTTTCTTATCTCGCTATATTTCGTTGGAGAAAATCTTTCCTTAAAGCACGTTCGAATAACTCAAAATGTGTTCGCTTCTTGGAAAAGTCTTTCGATAGCGACTTTAGGAAAAAAAAAATCTGTGTTTTACACCTCGCCAAACAGAGCTTTCTATAGACCACTAGTTATCATTAGATAGCGTAGATTTTAATGATTCCAGCAACATGCTTATTTTTTGAAAAGTCGTTTAGCCAGAGGATAAGATCGAATTTGTACATTTTCGGCGAGCTCCTTAATCGGCTAATCCATGGGGTAGGGAAGGGGGTACATGATTCATGCATTGGTCGTTGCATGTGGGATGTAATTTGTTATTCGATTAAAAATTTTCTATCCGTTTCAAGAAAAATTCCAGCTAAAAAGATGACTGAGATAATATGAAAGCTCCTCTACACGCTGATAACGCTTTTCCTGGCTTCCAGCGAATTACACGCGTACTGAAAATGACGGCGAACGGCGGTACTAAAACATGTGTTATTTCTAATTTCACAGCATTACAAAAAAAAGTGTTTTTGAAAAACCGACCACGTGGGGCTGTAGCCAGAGATTTAAGCTTTCAGTGATAACTCACACTTCTATGAAAAATTGCTGTCCAGCGATGAGATCAGTTTTTCATTTGTCGTCGCCTCACATATAAGTACCTGCTTATATGATTGAGTATATCCATCTACCTCTGGGCAATATGCTCATCAGGCATGATACATGGAAATGTATAGATGTTAGTATACCTGCTCTTGCTCGATAAGCTTCACAGTATCGCCTTTCAGAGTACACTTACGAGCAGGTACATAATTGACGCTTGTTGCACCTCATCCCACTCAAAGACTTGAGGGAACGACGTTAACACTTACCTATTGAAAATCTAAAGCACAGAATACGAAGATGATTCCGTTTAACCAAATCATTTTGAGAAACGACCCTGCTTATTTACGAGAACGAATGAGTTGCCTTGCCCGATTTAAATTCCAAAAACACTAACCAGTTCAAAAATAATAGCGTTATTTTTTTATCTTGCGGACAAAAAGTTGTTAAACACACGACTTATTCAGATACAAACCGGTATAGTATGATAGCATGATTTCTTTTCTGTTTGAACGGCGGCAAATGCATATCCGACTCCATTTGCTCGCAAGGACTTTTTCCATAGAAGTGTTTAGTAATCATTGTAAAGCTCAAAATATGTGGGCTAGAGTCGTACGTTGCCAATTTTTCAAAACACTTTCTTATAAATGCTGCAAAATCTAAAATAATATTACGTTCTACACCCGCTACTCGCCACCATTTTTTATTTTTTGGTTCTTGTAACGCGTGCTATTCGTTAGAGGCATGGAAAGGAAAAGGTTAAGGATAAGGAACGTGTTAAGAGAAAATTTCGCAGTGTATGAATCAATTGTTGTATCACTTTTTGTACACTTTTTTTTGAAATCAGTGAATTTTGGCGCTATCGAATGATCTATAGTCTAGAAAAAGTCTAGAAAAGTCTAGAAAAGAAAAGTCTATAGTCTAGAAAAAGAGCTCTCTCTTAGGTAAGGTGTAATACAGAAATCTTTCCTTTCACCTGCAGTGCTATCAAAAGAGATTTTTCAAAGAGCAACCACATTTTTAAAGTTCCTCGAGACTTGCGCTATCGAACGAGTACTAGCAGCCCAAAGAAAAAATTTTGACTAGCGAAATATAAGCATGATAAGAAAAAGACACGCGGTCGTGTGAAACATAATAATTCTGGATTTTTTTAAAAGCTATAAAGGGTTTTGAAAAAACGGGACAAGCATGGCTCTAACCAGAGATATAAGCCTTCGAAGGAACACTAACATTCCTATTATAAATTCTTACCCAGCGATTGGAGTCGAATATTCATTTGTCGTATCTAACAGGAAAGTATCACGATCTCGATGGTATACGTACGGTTCCGGCGTTCTCGGACGCTTCATCGGTAGCACATGCCTTTGAGCTCACTTCAACTAACACCGAAACGTGATGTATACCCACAGCGGATGCCAGGTCGTACTAGACCTATTGGAAAGCCCAAAGCATTCTATTAGATTGCACTGAATTTTTGAGCCAGGCCTCAACATAGTCAATTGAGAGGCATTGAAATATGCTTCCGCTACAGACAGTACAGTATAAACACAGTTTCAGTGGCCTAGGTTCCGATAGTTTCGCCTTCTTCAGAGCCTGGAAGAGTGAAGTTGATGGACCAATCCACTCAGCCAAAAAACTTTCCTTACCAAAGTAGATCATACTACACACGTAAATATAAAATCGCTTAGCCATGAACTACTATTGCTTTACTGCTTTGTGATCCACTAGTCGATATGGGCGAGGTCATGGCCGAGTGGTGGTGATGCTCGTCGCGGCGGGCACGGGCCGAACCCCATCCCCTTCTTCCGCTCACCAGTTGTGAACAACGAGCGCCTTATGGAGTGCCACAGTCAGGCCTCTCTCGAGATTGCACAGAGACGTACTCAACCAGTACTCTACAAAGTTCAAGAAAGAGGGTTGGAAAAGAATTGGTTCTTTTCCGTTTGGTTAGCACGCTTTTATAACGCTGAGAAGTTCAAAAATAAAATAATGTTACACATTGGCCGCGCAATTCAACTATTATCTTCACTGGATGCACGAAATGCGCATGAACTTGTAGAGAAAATCTTCTAGTATCAGGGGGTCAGACGTTCAAGCCGGATGAGTTTCTCTCCAAAGCGGTGGAACAAATTTAAATCGAATACACCCTTTTTAGGAGCCATCGATCGATGTTTCGCGTCCGACCCGCCCCTGCCCCACTCCACCGCGCGTGAATTGGCCAAAGTACACTAGCTCGTGCGTGTGTGAAGTCAATCTTATTTTTCGCTGCTGCGTTTGCAGAGAAAACCGGTCTCCTCAGGATATGAGCGCAGCGTTTGAATCGGTGAATTTTGTGCTATCGGAAGATTAGTAATAATGTGAAAAAATAAGCCCTGTCTTTCGAAAAAATATACGCGTCTGAAATAAGATTTATCCCAAAATTTAGCTCTATGAAAGAGCCTCTTTGAAAAAACCGGCCATGCACAGCGCCAGTTGGAGACTTAAGGTTTCGAATAATTACTGACAATATACCCTATAATGTGGGAGTGCTGTGCAAAAACGTTTGCGTCAGCCGGGATTCGAACCCAGATCTCAGTCGTTCCGAGAGCGTTTGCTAACCGTTGCACCACCGACATTGTGTACGGGTCCAGTTAAGTGGTGAAAAGTGGAGCTGATTATGTTGGCCAGCCGCACCGAGTCCCATCTTTATAGTTAAGCAGATTTTCCGAAGTAGATTCAGAAACGCCTAGGGAATTTCTCGGATCAAGGCTGGTTGAGGAGATCTCACGCCAATTCGACTCTTCCAGGCTCTAAAGAACCTGGAACTGCCGAGACGTAAGCCACCGAAAATGTCTACATTGTGCGGCCCGTATTGTATCCAATAATGTTGGGTGAAGGGCGCCTTGGCCGAGTGGTTGTGATGCCCGATGCGGCTCACGTGGAGCCGAACCTCACCCCCGACACTCTCCGGCAGTCAACAGCGAACGCCCTACGGAACGCCACGGCCTGGCTATCCTCGAGATTGCGAGGGGTCGTGCTCAGCCAGTTCTTGTACGACGTTCGAGGACAAGACGAGAAAACGAACTGAATGCTAGAAAGTACTGGGATCCGCACAGTAAAGAAAACTTTATGATGAGCCGAGTAAACAAATAAACAAGTAAACAAGTGACGTAAGAGGAAGAGGAAGGACAAAACTAAGCCGTGATGCCTTTCGAATTCAGGTGCGGTGTGTGCAATTACAGACATTCTCTGTAGAGTAATCTAATCAAGATCTTTCGAAAATATAGATGCGCTGATAAGTTCAATTCTTGGTGGAAGAGGTCGTTGGTGAGTGGTTTTGTCATACAAATCGTTGTTGTTATGTCTTTTCTAGGAATTAATATAGTGAATGTAATTTGTTACCGCGTGTAGCGCAATGGTTGAAGTGCTCTGGGGCACACGTGGTCGATGGTTCGATCCTGCGCTTGAGTTCACACAGCCTTTAATCCCTCCGGTGTTGGCGAATCGATGTCAGGTTTGTCTGGGAGCTTAGAATCATTGACTTGATACAATGGTAGTCCACTTCAAGTTGCTTTGAGAACCAAATGCGTTTCCAGTCACCTTGGACGACGCTACGAATTGAGTTCAATGCATGCCGCTGTTAGCGATGATAAGCGCCATGTGCTTTATTCTTCATCATTTTATCACTAAACTTCGTCAGTTTTTCTGGCTTTAATTTATTATTTACTATAGTTCTCCACTGCAATTCTTCATATATAAATTGTATTGAAATTTTGCTTTAAAATCTCCTAGGGTTTACGTTTCTGCTCTGTTCCTCTTTGGAATGAAAAACTCATAAATCTTTCTGAATCCAGTAACGTTTCTAAAACGCTCAAATCCAGTAGTATTCTTTATAGAATGAGTGATAGCAGAGCGTTGATTTTTGTGGTGAAGTGGTAGTATGAGGGTCTCCGGTAAAGGTCAAAGCACGGGTTCGACTCCCGCCCATGAGACGGAAGTTATGCATATAGTTCAGCTTCCTTGAAACTTCTGTGGTGAAGTGGTAGTACGAGTGTCCGGTAAAGGCAAAGCACGGGTTCGACTCCCGCCATGAGACAGAAGTTATGCATATAGTTCAGCTTCCTTGAAAGATTGTTCTCCTCAAAAAGTATTCAGTATATGAATATTCAGTTGTTATACTTGTATATTTATTTTAGTATTTATAGCTGAAAGAAAAAGAACAAGATCTACAGTTGAAGCTCAGAACGCCGAAGGAAGTGTGTAGCCTAGTGGTTAAGGGTACTCTGCGACACATGCGCGGTCTTTGGTTCGATCCCGCGCTTAAACTCGCCAAACCTTCCATCATTGCAGCATTGACGAACTGGTATCAGGCTTGTCTGGGAGGATAGCAGCATTGACTTGGCACATCGGCAGACCACTACGAGTCATGTGATGGTCGGATTTGCATTCAGTTACCTCTGACGATGCTGCGAACTAGTTCAATGCATGGCATATCAAGGATCGATCAACACCGGCTAAATGATTTATTATGCACTGACTCAAGCAACTCTGACTCTTAGGCAGGAATTGAAACCGTGTCTCACCCTTCCTGGGCGTGTGCTAACCATGCGCTATCCAATTTTTGCTCTTTGTGGATTCCATATCAAGCTGATCTTCATTCGTTGTTTCAGAGTAAGACCACGTTAGGAATCTAGAGTGTCGTTATATTCTTTTGAGAGCGCTCATGGCAGAAGATCCTTCAGCGGAATGTCTTCGTCAGGTATCTCGGAGCTGTGTCTATTTTCATAGAGAATTCTGACCTTCTTAGGATCGTGTCGATTTAGCTCAGAGAGTTCGAAGCAACTCTAACTCATGCGAGAGACCTCTTCACATCTACACGAAGTCTCTTATCGTATTCTTTCGGTAATCAGAGGATCGCTGGTTAGTTCTTAATATTCTTGAATGAGAACTCTTTCTATTCCACCGCTTTTGGCGGTAATATGATGCTATAGATATAACCAGTGATGCAGAATAATGTGCAAAACTTCTGCGTCAAAGCGGGGCTTGAACCCGCAACTCGCTCTGTCCGGGAGCGCGTGCCCTAACTCCGTCACACAACTCACTCCAGTTTTGCCAGCATGACTGGGTTCAGTGTCGATACCGACTACCTGGACCTAACCGTTGACGGTTCTTGCCTACAGGTAGATGCATTGTAGTGTAGAAAGAGTGGTAGCAAAACGGGCGTCAGTAGTGCAAGGGGTTGGAGCACGAGCTCCCGGATAGAGTGAGATGCGGGTTCAAGTCCCGCCTGACGCGAAAATTTTGCTTATCACTCACTCTACGTCACTGTGTTGAAATCCTGGGGTGGAGCATAGCCGGGGCTTCCTCAGGTCGTCTCCGTATCAGGATTGTAGAAGGCCTACCCTATGTAGATCACAAAGAGATTGCCACCTTGCTATCAGTAGCTACCAAGAGGGCGGTTATTCTTGGTACGATTTACTCATACCTGGGATTTCCGGATAGAAACGTCGGTGTCCTTCTCAACGTAGTTGGGCCTGCTTGGGATTGAACCCCAGCTGTGCTTCGCATTCCCGCACCCAGGAACTCCTCTCAGCGATGATGAACGGGAAAAATATCTGGGAGGTTTTTAATCATGACCGTTTCTCACGCCTCTTTCGTTTACATCGATTTTCTATGTCACTGGTTTCTTACTTGTTTTCGCAACTAGGTGTACCCATTATTTTATTCCAGCAACTTTCAGATGTATTTCGCTCTGCTCTTTCCAATCCAGATCTTTTGGAAAAGTGTGAGAGTTCTCAAGACGTCTGTGCCAAATTGTTCTATCAGCGTTGGAGAACTTGCTGGTTGTTGAAAGGTTAGAGGTGCAATTCCATTCTTCAGAAGAATTTTGGTTCTTTCCGGTTATAAAGGGACAAATGAAAAGCTGACCTCATTCGCTGGACAGAAGCGTTTTATAGGAGCGTTGGTAACCATTGGAGTGCTGAGATTTCTGGTTACAGCCCCAAGTCACCAATTTTCAACTACACTTTTATATAACACTGTAAAATCCTGCATAAAACTATCCTCAAATGCGCATATTTCTTGCCATAGTAAGGGATTTCCTTCTGTAACAGTAAAAAAAAACGCTTTCTCGAGAACTGGTGACGTGGGACTGTAACCGAAAATCTCAAAGCTTTCGAATGGTTATTAATATTCCCATGAAAAGTTCCTGTCCAGCCAGTGAGGTCCGTTTTTCGTTTGTCCCCTTATTACTGAAAAGAACCGCATTTTTGCTATCTCGCTATCGCAGCAATCGATTAGTTGTGGTCTTTTTCATAGATGCAGTTATCTCTAACATCGTTAATTCATTCTTTGATGTAACAATCGGTCAAATCATACTCCAAGAGTGACAGGTCCAACACATATCAGCAATTTAAAAACATCTATTGATTAACCTCTGAGCACCGCGACTGATAGCAGGCGGCGTCGCGCTGGTCGCTCACGCTGCAGTCGCATGCAAACAGCATCTGCAAGTCGATCGCAACTGCAAATGCTGCCTGCCTTGCCCCGAGACGCGCCGCCACCATTGCAGCATCTAAGCGAGACGCGACGTCGCGCGGCTTACTAAGTAACGTGGGACGTGGAAGCCAAAAGGTTAAGATGGACTTTATTATCTGACTATTAGACAGGAATGTTGAGTGATACGCGGCAACTCTAAACCTGGGGCGGGAGTTAAACCCGCGTCCGACACCTTCCGGGTGCGGAATGGATGTTTTCTCGCCTCCAGAACGTGGAGATGAGGGTTCAACTTCCACCCGAGGTTCAGAATATAATTATAATAGGAGACCATTTTGCTGAAGCAGTAAATGGAGGGTTTGTGTACTTTATTGTGTAGGCCGGAATAGCCGTCGTGGCATGGAATCATAGTGCATCTTTATGCTATAAATTTAAATCTTTCTTGTCTCTTTGATGGTCGTGCTATTTTTAGGTGCACAGTTGAAAAATGCGAAATCTCAGATCAAATGCAACTTTTCTGGGATGTTTATCAATTGAAATTCATTCCGAACATACTGGATCCCAGTACGCTGTCGCCACTTGATAAAATGATGGATTCTGTTGAAGCATACATCAAAGAAACCGGTAAGACTTGTCGATTTCTGCATTATCTAGGTTTTTTAGATTATGGATCTCTAAACTACTAATATACTTTATAATTATTTTTGTGCATGTATGTGGTCTGTTATAGGCACTTATGGGGCCCAATACACCGTCTTCTGGCCTTGGCAGCTTCTTCAGTTGGACACCACCCTGCGTCATAGCCAATCGTCTTGGAATAAACCCAACCCCCCTTACATAGAGAGGACGCAAACGTACTATTTACACTCTTCATTATGTGAAAATATCACTGAATGTGCAGTGTTGTGCACTCGATAGTTCTTGGTTGGTATGGTCAAATATATCATATTTTTCGTAATAACTCTAAGTCATCTCTAGAAAAATAGCTATATGGTATTAGGGATTTGATTGGTCTAAAGAAAAACTCGAAAGGTATGATATTTTCGACGATACCAGCCAAGCGCGATTGAGTGTACAACACTGCCCATTCAGTGATAATTTCACTTAATGGAGCGAGTAGATAGTACGGCGTCGCCTAGTCTATGTAAGCGGTTGGGTTTTCCTCAAAAGGATTGGCTATGACGCAGGATACTGCGATAATTGATGAGTCTGCCATGGCCAAACATGTGTACCGAGGCTCCTTAAGTGCCCATAAGAAACCACATGTATGGCTCAGTATTAACTATAAGACATACTGAAATTTGATCGTGGTCTAAGCAAGCACTGGAAACGAAATGTATGCTAATACAATGTCGAAAGAGTCATATAAATTCTTCTGTTATCTTAAGGGAATAGACCAACAAAGCGGTAAAGTAGGCTGTGAAGCACCGGCAGCGTATAACGAGAGCTCCATTCTCTGTCTTCGACAAATTGCAACTGGAAAATGCACTCTCACTTGAGAATTTCTTGAAATTCAAGAATGATATTAATGCTAGCTGAGCTACAAACCTCTATGTTCTGCAGTATTGTAATTCTGACTTTCTGTAGTCCATCACATATGTTTCTTCTATCTCAATCCTTCAAGGCTCATGTTTCGAACCCTTTTGCGACTAGCTATCCAAAATTTCTCTGTTTGAAGAAAATGATCATTTTCAATGTACCATCCATGTATCGCAACTGCTCACTGTTCCACTCATAGTTTCAGAAATTTTAATCTTGTTTCCATTTTCTTATATGTTCCCTTTTCAAATTTATTCACATTAAAAATCATATTGTGTGAAAAATCAAAAGAAATACCAGATTTTTGCAGGGCAGTAAACCTCTTTTTTAAATCTATAAAGCGTTGAACTTGTGGAATGCTCTAGTGATCGAGAAATTATCGTCTGTTGTCGAAGAACTGAAGTCGTCGCAAAAGTGTAGATCGCCGATTACTCAAATTTTCATGATCCGGCAGCCAGCCTGAAGATTGTTTGATATTGGTTCTCTTGCTTAGTTGCGCTTTGTGTTCTCTCTGAAGAGGACAGCCGTATGGTATTTTATATCGTCGCACCATGCAGTATCACCTGTATCACCTGTCGTCCCGTTGATCATCGAGTGACTCGAGCGGGTACCAGCAACTCTTCCATTTTTCCCTATCGCGTGCAAGAGTAGCCCAGTGGATCCTCCGCTCTAGGGATTCGCTGAGCATCATATCTTTCCTCTATCGCTATCGTGAAGAAGTCGGACCAACGGTCAGTGGTCTTCCTTTAGAGAGCTTGACGTCCCGAGTAATAAAGTCGGTAACGGCTCTCGTCCATCGATTGTCGTTGAAGCGCATCGCTTGCCCGGCTCACCTTATCTTCGATATCCTGGCGTGCAGAACGGCGTCTCTGGTTTCGATCGTTGACGTAGGTCGGAACTTCGGATCCTTTCTCTCATTTGCGAAATCACGGGATACTCCTAGCATCGACCTTACGACTGCGCGTTCGATAACGGCAAGTGATCTTTCATCCTGCTGACGTAGCGACCAGGTTTCTGCTGCATACGTTAGGGCAGGGATATTGTCGAGTCGAAAAGGTGGGCACGGAGTCGGATGTTCTTTGTCCGCTTAACTACATCTTCGATGCTCTTAAACGTTCCCCAAGCATCTCGTTTCCTCCTGCTCAACTCTGGAGCTAGGTCGTTCATCATATGATTTCACGACCTAGATAGACGTAACTGGAGCATTCGGAGATTGTCGTTCCGTTGGCGTGAATGGGGCATTAGAAATCCATCCGTTCCTCATAAACATTGTTTTCGTTAGATTCAGTTGAAGACCAATCTTTGCCACAGGCGTTTCGAAATCGGTCAACATTCGTTCCGCTTGGCTGATGTTTCGGTGTTATGAGAACGATATCGTCAGCAAAGCGAAGATGGTTTAATTGTCGACCGTCAATTTTCACTCCCATTTCGTCCCATTCTAATGTTCGCATGACGTTTTGCAGGGTGGCAGTGAATAGTTTTGGTGATATTGTATCGCCTTGTCGAACCTCTCTTCTTACGTCAATGGTGATATTGTTGTAGAATGGAGATATTCTGGTCGTGAAATCTTTATAAAGCTCACGAAGGATCATTATGCACCGAGTATGGACGCCCTGGTTATCCAGAGCCTCTATAACCGCTTCTGTTTCCACTGAATCAAACTCTTTCTTCAGATCGATGAAAGTGAGACGAGCGGTATTTTGAGCTCTCGTGAGACTTCAATGAGTCTTGTGATCACGTGGATGTATTCTATGGTACTAAAACCTTTTCTAGAACCCTGCTTGTTCGCATGGCTGTCCTTCGTCCAGTGTTCTGTCAATCCTGTTCAGGATGACTCGAGTAAAGAGTTTATAGACAACGGACAGCAAGCAGATTAGGCGATAATTGCCTATGTCGTGAAGGTCTCCCTTTTTGAACAACAATACGGTCTTGCTGGTTTTTCATTGATTAGGGACCTTGCATTCTGACAGGTAGCGAGTGAAGAGCCGAGCCAGGGTGTTGATGAGAACTGGCGGCAGGTTCTTCAGGTGTTCTGGTCTAATCCTGTCTGGACCGGGTGTTGTTCTGTTCTTCACCGACGATATAGCATGTCGGATTTCGGAAGGGAGGACCGGTGGAACGACATATTCGTCCTCTTTCAATTTATATGGCGGTAAAAGGACATGGCTAGCGAAGAGATCCAAGTAGTATTGGTGGATGATTTTCTCCATAGCCCTTCTCGAAGCTGTAAGTGCCCGCAGGGTATCGAAGTGCAATCATCT